TCCATCCATCCATCCATCCATCCATCCATCCATCCATCCATCCATCTATCCATCCATCCATGAAACAGTAACCGAGATGCTGCTGGGTACCAATCAACACACCAAGCTTCCTCCACTGTCCTCAAATAAAACCCTGAACCCATCTTCCCCACTGTGTTTTCCAGTCTGCTACATTGGCACTATTATTTTTAGAACATTGCCACAGAAATTACTACCCGAGTGCTTGATTTTTACATGGGCCATGAGATGTTCACGATATAATTCACAAGGCAGAATTCTCCCATCTCTGCCAGCATCACAATTTAATAAACATACCGCTATCACCATTTTTTTTGCCTGATTTTCTTTTTCTGTGCTTAGGAAACACACAGACTATACTTTTCATTAATTAGCCAGATGTAGCGCTCTTAGAAGGGATTTTTTGCCACATCCAGTTTTACAGTCTTTTAAAAGTAAACCATCATCTTTCGAAGGCTGCTTCTTTATGGTTTCATTAGTGCTGAGATGGATGGATATTACTTTTTGCAGGAGGCCATTTGAAACACCTGCTCATGATTACAATCCTAGTTCCATCTCTGTATTTAAAATTATTCGCATCCCCACTTTGAGGTAATGTTGCCTTTCTAATACCTTGGAGCCCCTTCAGGCATTGTGTGACTGGAGGTGTTTAGGTGAAAGGAGGAAGGAAAATACAGGCAAATTCACAGGGGGCACGAGTTGACGAATACGGGCTTACAGCGCGGAAGTTCTGCTTCTGCCTGTGGCTGGTTGATTGCAGGGTTGACTGCTGCACGGGGCTGTCAGTTTGGGGTGTCAGTTTGAAGTCCCCAGTCCCTGGTTCCATTGTGCTCCAAGCGCAGACCACGTCCAGCTCCCGGTCCTGCTCTTGGGAAGTTCAAGAGGGAGCATCTGTCCTCACGCACACCGTCCTTTTCTCCTCAACGCCCCAAGACCTAAAACCACCCAAACCCAAACAAAACGAGCAGTCACTGAGGTTGTCTCAAGGATGAGGCCAGAAACATTGTCCCACAGCATGATGGGACCGGGGTGGGGCCTGCAGTAGGCGCCAGGAGACCCAAATTCAACTCCCAGTTTCACCTTTGAGCTGCTTGTGTGGCCTGAGACAAGTCACCCCACCTTTTGGGGGGCCCTTGATTTCCTGGATAAGACAAAGGTGACGACCAACTGCTCACAGAATGATCTTGCTCTGGGTGGGGGCCAGGTAAAAATGTAAATAAGGGAAGTGGGCTGGGTGGAGACAGGCTCCTGGCAGGTTCATGCACCGCTGCCCCTGAGCCCAGCCAGCTGTTGCCAAGAGGGCAAGGAGAGCCTTGTGGGGCCACATGTTCCAGTTTGCCAGGCGTTTAAAGTCTCCTCATTATCATTAGTGGGTAATGAATCACAAAATTTTTAAACACTGAAGGGAAGGGACAGAAAAGTAAACAGTATCACATAGAATCACATGCTACCCTAAGCTAACTGTTTGAGACCCCCTGGCCTAAAAAGTTTAAACTTCCAGCTCTAACATTCCCCCCACCCTGAGGAGTCCTTATTAATATTTCAGGGGGGAGAGCATGTCATTGTAGCATTTTATTTCTCCACCTATTTGACTGGTACACAAAATGCCCGTGCAGCTTATTAGTGCACACAAAGGGCACCTTTCGCTGCTTCTCTACCACTCGCTCGCCTTGCAGGTATGGATGGTCTGTTTCCTCCAGAGAGGGGCCTCGCTTTCCCCAAAGCCTTCACTTCTCCCCAGCACAGGCAAAGGGTTGCCGCCTCGTGCTCCTCAGCGCTGGCGCGAACACAGAGCTCTGCTTCTCTGCAGTATGAATCAAGCAGCCACACATAACCACCCACTCATTTAGATACTTCAAGCTGATACATAAATATCTACGCGTACAGGGTGACTGCTGAGCTCTTTCAGTGGGGATGTGTGGGAGTGGACCCAGACAGTAATTCCTGCTGATTTGGGGGTATGGTAATACTTTATCTTGCCATTGAAAAATCCTATCCAATTAGAAAACACCCTCTCGAAGACTTCAACAACCACTCCCTCCACACATGTACACACGCTTTCTGTCTCTTCACTCCCCCATCTCCATCTCAAATGGCTACTGCATAGTGAGACTGAAAAATGTGTTCACCTTTGAGCCCTGTAGAAGTCTTTATTTTCTTCCATCTGGGCTTTTCACCATCTCATTTATAGGTAGCCTGGCTTATTTTGAGCGATTCTGCACATCGCTATTTATACCCCGCTTGTCAGCCACTTGGAAGAACATTCCCTTTTCAGGCTCATCTGTGTGCATATAAGTGGGGAAAGGCCATGGTTTGCATTGGGCACCATCTCCTCTGTGTGACCCACGGACGCACAGACCTCTGGGCTCAAATAAGTGTCCCTGATTTCAAGGATGGGAGTTGACAAAGACAAATTTGGTTCGTAGAATTTTGTGTGGCCCAAGGAGGGTGCACCCCAGCATGCTCTAGCTCACGTAATTGCTCCTCTGTGTCATGCTTTTCTCCATTCATAAATATGAAGATTTTCTTCGGTTGGGTATTTGTGGGTGAGTTTAGGCGAGTGCAGTTGCTTCTTAAAGCAGCAGCTTTATGACAGATGCACAGTGGGAGAAGGGCGCCCTGGTAGCACAGTCGTAAACACTTGGCTGCTAACTAAAGTGACATGAGTTCAAATCCACCAGCCAGTTCTGAAAGTCTGCTTCCACAAAGAGGACAGCCTTGCAAACCCTGTGGGACAGCTCTACTCGGTCTTACAGCATTGGTGTGAGACAGAATCAACTCGATGGTTTGGCAAGTGGGGGAGAGAGGGAGTCGCTCCTCAGAAAGGAGCTACTCTTGGGTCCCAGTCTTTGAAAGACACCCAGATTTGGGGCTGCTGAAACTATTACTATGGGAGTCCTCATGGCATCCTGGCTATGTGTTGGGCTGTCATCCGAAAGGACTGCAGTTCAAAACTCCAGGGGAGAAAGAAGGTTGTTTTCTGCTCCCATAAAGACCTACAGTCTCAGAAACTCACAGGGCCAGTTCTATACTGTCTGCAGGGTCGCCACGAGTCAGCATCCATTTAATGGCAGTGAGTTTGGTTTGGTTTGTTGGTAGTTATTGTTGGGTTCTCAAAGCTGTAATCTTCATAGACCCTTTTCTAGGCAGCAGTCTATAAAGAGGAGCCCTGGTGGTTTAGTGGGTTATGTGTTGGGCACCTAATCGCAGGGTCAGTAGTTCGACTTCATCAATGGCTCCGCAGGAGAAAGATGAAGTTTCTGCTCCCGTGAAGAGTTATAGCCTTGGAAACCCACGGGGGGCAGTTTTACTCAGCCCTGTAGGGTCACCGTGAGTTGAAATCAACTTGATGGCACTGGGGTTGTTTCTGATTTGAATCTTTGAGGGAGCAGATCACTAGGTATCCCCAGCCCTGCCCTTACGCGCACACACACACACAAGCAGCCCCCTCTGGTACTCTTAAAGGAGCCCCGTTGCCGGCACTCAGTAATGGGTGATGGAAAGCACCAGACTCCATGACTTGCCCCTTGTCTCCTTGTCTTTGGGGCCCAGTCCTGGGGACTGTGTGTTGTTATGGTGGCTGTTCTCCGAGTTTCTGGTTGTTGTTTATTTGAATGGAAGGCCAGTTGTGGCATCAGTTTCTCGATTTTTCACCCCCAGTGGCAAAATGCGGCGGCCTCACAATGCAAGAGTGCGGAGACCCTGTCAGCTTGCATGCGCTAACACTTTATTATCTAATGATCTAATGTGCAACAAGGCAGAGTGCCGGTGCTCATCATCCTGACACAGAATGCCGGCAGAAGTGACTAAATTACTTTATGTACCATTAGCGCTAGCAGCTATGGTGAACTCACCGGCAGCATTTATGCAAATGCCTGTGAATACACTCTGTGGCTTTGTCAGGAAGCTGGCTGACAAGCAGTTTAAATGCCTTTTTTTTTTTTAGGGGACATTTTTTTATTTTGGCAAGCATGTGTTTTTTCCTGTTCTCCTTTCTGCTTCCCACCCCCTCCCCTTTTTGGATCCATAGAGAATGGGCCTCCGTGGGGGTCTCGGGGCAGGGGGTGGGGTGGGGTGGGGAGCAAACTGAGAGGTCTGAGCATTCAGCTCTGCTTCACATCTAGCTGTTTCTTCTCTT